TCATACCTAAATAGGGACATAGTAGTATACTTAAAGTATGGTGTAAAGTTCACTTAAAGAAAACTTACGAGTATACTTGTAGTAGTAGTTTACTGAGACTATACTTCAAAGTGTACTAAAATGCTACAAGTATTTAATTAGTAAACTACCACTATACCTATAAGTTCACTTTTAGTATAGTTGCAGTACAAACTAAACATTTTGATGTAAACTAGTTGTGTACTCAAAGTTTACTACTGTTATACTTAAAGTATACTTAAAAGTATACTTTTATATACTAGAAAGTGGGCCAATTTAGTCCCAAGGAGTATTGAAATAGTACACTTACAAGTATACTACCAGTACACTGATATTTGTATACTTACTACATAAAGTATACTTAAAAATATACTTGAACTTTACTTAAGTATACTTACTAAAATAAACTTGAAGTATACTACTTTTTGGTAAGGGTAATCATACTTTTGAGTCGGTTCTTTCTTTTTCAGCCAAAAACAAAACGGTGAATCGATTCGCATTCGTTCAGACGTTCACTCACTGAAACATCTGAAGCTGTTGTTGAAGCCTGGATGAAGTGGATATTTACCTACAATCAAAACAAAAGGCCACTTTTAAGAGGTAACTTTGAGAAACCTTAAGCTACTGTTGTGTCATGTGAACACAAAATTGTTTTAGTGTCCGCCCGCGCTGTTTTTCAGTTTTTTTTCCTATGTGGATTTGCTATAGATGGATGTCTTTGACCATTGCATTGCGTTTCTGTGGTTTTTAACGTTTTAAACATAAACATTATAACCTTAAAACGTTGATCATTTGGTCTGAGGACGGTCTCAAGTCGTACAGAACATAAGTCATTATTCCTGAATTCATACATTTTCTAATTAACAGCAATTATAATTGGCTGTGGTTTACTTTAGATTCTTAGTGCAAAGATGTTATTTTATCTTTTATCAGGCACACCTTAGAAACCACCTGCCTAATATTGTGTAGGTCCCCCTGGTGCTGCCAAAACAGCTCTGATACGTCGAGGCATGGACTCCACAAGAGCTCTGAACATGTCCTGTGGTCTCTGGCACCAAGACATTTGGCAGAAGATCCTTTAAGTCCTGTACCAGGTGGGGCCTACATGGATTGGATTGGTTTGTCCAGCACTTTCTATAGATGCTGAATCAGATTGAAATCTGCAGAATTTGATGACCAAAGAAACACCTTGAACTCTTTGTTCCTCAAACCATTCCCGAACATTTGTCAAAACACTGCCTCCACCAGCCTGCCTTCTTCCTCATTCTTCCACTTTCTCATTTAAACAATACACATGCACCCAGCCATCCACCTGATCTAAAAGAAAAATGTGATTTATCAGACCAGGTAACCTTCTTCTATTCCTCCATTGTGCATTTCTGACGCTCACATGTCCATTGTGGCACATGCTCACATGCCACTGGGCTATGCAGACCCATATGCAGCAAACTGCCATGCACTGTGTGTTCTGACACCTGAAGCAATTTGAGCTACAGTAGCTCTTCTCTGTGATCAGACCAGACAGGCTAGCCTTCGCGCCACAGGCTGAAATAAGCCTGCAATGCATCTGGTTGCCATGACAACCTAACAGGACCATGCCGTTGAGTGACAGTGTGCCTCATCCAACTTTATCTAAATCCTGTCATTGACTGTCCAGCCCTAATAAGCTAATATGTTTGCAAAGCCTTTCTGTAATTGCAATGCTCTCGAAAATTTATAATGAAAATTGTTATATGTCTCACTGCCCAATGACAGTCAGTCTTACCTCTGCTTACATCTTACTTACATCTACTGAGTGGCATGTTGGAAAGGGGTAGATCTTTAAAAAAAAAAAAAGTCAAAAGCTGATTGGTTGTCCTAATGAGTGAACTGTACAATGGCAGTTTTTAACTTAACTGACAAATAGATAAAGTCAAAACAACAAAGCTAAGCTTTTGGCAAATGAACAAAACAAATCAACTGGCAAATTTTTTTTTTCCTCAAAATGCAATTTAAAATATGCATGATATTTAATGTACTATTTTATTATTTTAAGAATATTTTAAAACTGAACCGTTTTAAAATGCCTATAATTTGTCATTAAAATGCATTAAAAAGTTATTTATTTCCATCTTATATGAGAATTAGTAACTAAGCTGATCATTTATTCCTTCATTTTATTTATGTGTGAATAGTACTCAATGTGTTGATGTGAAACAAGTTATTTTAACCTTCCTTGCTGTGTATTTCATTAAAATGAAAGTGTTATGTACTTATAGACAAGCTTATAGACAACAAATGTAAGGTTCATTATTAATATTTTACTGAAGTTTCCATATTCGTTTTTCCTCCGAGGTTAGTATCCCCTTTTAACAACATACCAATGTTTAAGCAAAAGAACACTACACTTGCACTTACAGATTAACATAGCCTACAAATGAAGGTGGTTTTATAAAGTAACACGAGAAAACATGATTGTTGACTTTTGCTGACAAATAAACAGGAATATCAGGGTCCAGGTAAAATGGAAAAAGAGTACACTGTTCAATTATATACAGTTGCAATCAAAATTATTAAACCCCCTTCACCTGCAAGACATTCTGCTGCCATGAACAAAATTTTATGAAAACAATTTAATCAAGGCATCAGTATTATATTATAGCAAGTTTATTAATACACATTTCATTTGAGTGATTCTGAATACACAAAGTTGAAAAAATAAAAAATAAAAATATTCATATACAAAATGAATGATTCTGAGTACATAAAGTTATTTAAAAAACATTCAAGTACAAAATTATATCCTCCAATATATCATTGCCTCTAATTGCTTACATAAATTGCTTTTAAGTGCTTTTACATAATTTTTTAAATACTATTTACATTGCATTTACATATGTGGTCACCATATGCAAGTAATACTGCCAGATGCAGATATGGAGTTTGGCAAACCAAGGAGTTTGGCAGCCTCGCAAGATGCAAAGGGGGATGCATTGAGGGACCACCTAGACACCGGATGCTAAGCTAAGGGGTGGAGAGGCTGAGACTGGACACTCAGTGACAGCCGTGGCAGGAGAGGCTTTCATAGGAACCTCTGGGACGGCCAAAAGAGGAATTCTGGGACTCTGACCATGACATGAAGCTCTGTCATACAGACGGCTGTGAGAGGGAATCGTTGCACTGTCCCTAGGCAAATAATATCGGCAGACGCTAACATTACTGCCACAAGCCAAGGCGCCAGACGCTACCAAGGCTCGCCAGCCCTGCAAGATGCTAAGGCACGGAGGGATCGGCACTCATGTCAGGCCACCAGACACTAAGCTGACTTGAGGAACCCTGGAACTGTGGCAGTAAATAGTGCAAATTATATATACATATAGTATATATGTATACTATTTACATTTTCCTCTTTACGTCTTGTTCGGCGACCTGGAACAATAGACAAACAACATATAAAAATAAACATAATTTTTAAAGAACATACATTTTTAGGGAAAATGTAACGTAATGTAATGAATATATCTTAAATCATTGTAACTCAATACCTTAAACCATTTATGTAGCAGGATTTCCCTCAGATCAATCCGCTGGCTTGGGTTTTGCTGCAGGAGAGACTGAATCAGGTGGCAGCAATCTGTGCAAAAACGATGAAAGAGAGGAAGAGACGAGAGAGTCGGATTATTACTTCAGACTTCTTTACACAGAAGGTATAATTCCTGTATTATCCACATTATCTAACTTTTATAAAGCTACTTGGCTTGTATGTTACTTTGCCAGCCTTGTTTCCTTGTTTTGTATGATTGAACTACAGTTGGTCTTTGTTGTAATGAATGGCATCTTACCGTCCGACAAGCCAGGCTCAGACCAGATGTCGTGCTCAATCGTGTGTAGGTCTCTGGGTTGTGGATAGCGTCCACACATCATGATGAATAACAGCACTCCCAGAGACCACACAGTAGCTGGTCTCCCGTGGTACTTGCGCCTCACGCAGTACTCAGGAGGGAAGTATTCTCGTGTGCCTGAGGAAAAAAGATTTTGCCTGATGGGTAAGCTTGAAATACTACAGCATGTTTTCTAATATTTGAAACATGCTAAAAATATATGGTGTTATTTAATTTAAAAAAAAAGCTCCCAAAGTACAGGTTTGATGCATAATACATACCATAGAATCTTTTATAGCCAGAGTCTTTCAGGAGATCCCCGCACCCGAAGTCGATCAACTTGACCTCGAGGGTTTCGGGGTTCATCAGCAGGTTCTCCAGCTTAATGTCACGGTGAAACACTCCTCGTTGACAGCAGATGTGAGCGCCCATCGTTGCTTGTGCCATGATGAACCGTGCTGTTTCCTCCTTGAGGATGCCCCTGTGACGCCTCAAGTAGTTCCACAGATCTTCGCAGGGTGAGGGGCGCTCCATGACCATGATGTAATATTCAGGCTGGTCCTGCCAGTCCAGCAGCTGAATGATCTCTGGAGCTTTGGGCTCCCTGTTGACCAGGATTAACAGGCCGACCTCTAATGGAAGGGGTGTGGGATGACCAGACTAGAAGAAAGATCACTGTTAGATGGAGGTGCATCCCAAATAAGGATTGCACTGGGAAAAAAAACAGCAAGCATTGCCTACTTACAATGTTGATATATTTCATGTTCTTTGGCTTTCTGGCAGTTTTCACTGCCACCTAGACAACAAAATGTAACACTGATTACAGTTACATTCAGGGTTTAAATTGGGCCGGGGCCGTCCGGGGCTGAGCCCTGGCACATAGATTCCAGGGCTCGACATTAAAGGTGGGGTAAGCGATTTCTGGTAGCCAATGTTGACATTTGAAATCACCATATTAGTTCTATAAACAGTTCAATATAACAATACAATAATATTAGGTCACTTACATTTTAGGCGGACCACAGCGCCCCTCAGAGCAAACAGCCGATTCATTGCTGATTGATTCCGTGTTTTGAACGAATCGGTTGAGTGAGTCAAAGTTTCATTAGCCCACGCATACACATCTGGGCCCATATTCACAAAACATTTGATCTTACCACTAAGAGTTCTCCTAAATAGCAGTAAAAGTTTTTAGCTAAGCGTTTTCTCTTAAAACCTATTCACAAAGCTGCTGAAACAAACTTTTACTAAGGAATAGAGAGAAGTCTTAAGCTAAGAGTAAGGGGGCGGGGTTGACCTTGTTGCTATGGAT